AGAAGTTCAAAATAAGTGAGCCACCTCACTAATTCCCCCATCCCCTGGGGTCCCCAGGCCTTCTGACATAACCAAGTCTTAAGGGACCTCTGGAAGCTCAACAATGACGAGGCCAGTCTCACCTTGCGGGGAGAAGATTCCATAGCGCAGGCGCCACAGCAGAAAAGGCCTGCCACCTGGGGCCTGCCAAATATATTTCCCTAGGTGATGGAACCCCTAACATGCCCTCTCTGCTGGATCTGGTAGGACAGGCAGATGAAATATTAATATTAAGAATATTAACATTCTTAATATTAAGTAATATTAATATTAAGTAATATTAAGAAGATGGTTAATACTGGGACCTAAGGTAAAAATACAGGCATTTTAAGGTCTTGATCTTTGAATTGCTACTGGGATTTTAAGGAATCAGCAACAAAAATTGAGAAAAATCTAGAGATTTTTCAGAATTGACTTTTAAGAAGAATTTTAATTGGTTGTAACTTTGCTTCTCTAGGCACACAGACAAATGGGCTAGACTTTCAGAAACAGACTGTGCCTGTTCCAGGGGCAATCTCTACAGCCCAGGCATTCCTTGGACATCTTCATCAGGTAAGCATTTTTTTTTTTTCTTTTATACTGAATCTTGAAAAAAGTCACATAGGGACTTTTTCTGTTCATGAAGGGAGCAGATTAGTACAGTACAAGGCTGATGTCTTAATAACTTGTATAAAATGTGCCAGATTCTGGAAATACATAGCAGCCAGTGTATGGAAGAAAATAGAAAACTTCAGTGGAAACACACACACAAAACCCCCAGTTGCTTCTAATACAAAAAGGGTGTATCATGATCATGTAGTATGTCCTTTTATACAGTGCCTTACATTGCCATTGGAAGAAATCCATGTATGCATGCATTTCCACACACACTTGCACAGTATAGAAGTTTACCCTTAGCAGGTAATATGATTGCATATATTAAATAATTACATATATTATGAAAATCCATAAGGCTGTTGAAATATGAGTGCTGTCAAAAAGGCAACAACAAAGCAATGAAATAATTTCAAATTATTTCTAAACCTAAATTCTGCTAATAGTTGTTACGTAAAATTGGATTCTTCAACAGTGGAATAGAGTCTGCAAATTATGATAATTGTTGCCAGTGCTTGAACTACTGCTCAACTCTAATTTCTAGGCATAAGCTACTATCATTAACTGCTGGTGACTTTGGGATGCATTTGATTAATTTGTCCAAAGTGGCTCTCTTTGGTCCAAAGTTTGTAGTAGTGTCATCTTAATAATGAGAACCAGTTTGGTGTAGTGGTTAAGGCATCAGGCTAGAAACTGGGAGACCATGAATTCTAGTCCTATCTTAGGCACAAAGCCAGCTGGATGACCCTGGTCCAGTCACTCTCACAGCCCTAGGAAGGAGGCAGTGGCAAACCACTTCTGAAAATCTTGCCAAGAAAACTACAGGGATTAATCCAGGCAGTCGCCAGGAGTCAGCACTGACTTGAAGGCACACGTATACAGCTTGATAATAATCTCATTATGTAAGTTTGAAGTATTTCATGCCTTACTGCGTTGGATTCCATTTGGTTGGATTTATGTACATAGATGGAAAACTTGGCTAATTCAGACATTTGATTTCAAAACCTCTGGTTCTCAGGCACTAGAAGCCTAAGTGCTAAACAAATAATTAGAGGTAGGTTAAAGAAATACTAGCAGAAGAGTTTCCAGTGGTCATCATGAATGAGACAAAGGATTCTAACAATGCATATTAAAGTTTTTATTTTAATTATTTAATCATATTTTTATATTATGTTTTATTTTACTTTTATAAATCAAGTGGTTTTTGACAAAACGTGTGGAGATAAATATGTAGAAATAGAGGGAGAGGTAATACAGTGATTGTATATGCATTAAAAATATTGTTTTTAAAAAGTGGCAGTTGATAGTAAAAATAGTTTTTCATTACAAGTTCTTTATCAAACAGAAAAAAAAATCTGAATTGGGAGTCTGCCACGTAGAGAGTGAACTCTCCATTACTGAAATTAGTCAGATTAAGATAGTTCCTTGACTGTTTCTATTGTCATATTCAAAGTAGGATGACAGATTTTTAAAACCCATGTTTAAGTGAGATGATTATTCATTCTAAAAGTCAGGAAATTAGCGCAGTAGAACTAAGGAGAGAAGAGTTTCACTCTAGAGTTTCATTCTAATGTATTAAATATTTAAAACTGTCACAAATAATTTCACAATAAGTTGGCATTTCATAGACTTGTAAATTCTTTGATCATGTGGAACCATTTGGCTATCTTAGACCATTTAAAAAATCAATATTAGTGTACTGTTAGTGTACTGCCAAAATCATACTTGTATGTTGCAGTAAGAAAAAGGGGATGAATTGAGAATTCCAATCGTTTCTCCAATTCCTGATCCTATATTCTGTCAAATAGGCTTTTAATGTTGGCATGATGGGAGGCTAATTTGTCAGACCCATCACTTCTCAATTCCCAAAAGCAAACCATGACTTCAGATTCTGAGAAGTGGATAATAATTTTTTTCACTCTCTTCCAAATTAGAAAGTGAATTTTGATTTGGGAAGGACAGCAAAAGTTTCCCTTCTGAATTTGTTAAACAGATTTTATTCATTTGTTTGGGAAGTATTGAATATTTGGGAAATATCACCACAACCTTGGAGTTGCTTAGAACAGATTGTCCCTTATTCCCTCATTTACTATTCTAAGTGGAAAGCAGCCTGGTTGTCATCAAAAGAACGTTTTTTCCCAATGTTGTCTGTTAAGAATGAATGGCTGTCAGTTACTTTTCCCCCATAAAAGTAAAGAAAGGCATGGTCTTAGGGATACCAGTGGGCTTCAGTATATCTCCTACCCCTGCTAAAACTTGTTTCAGAAGATCAATTTGTCTCAGGCTTGTATTTGTTTGTCTGACAGGTGTTAGAATTATCTGAGAACTTAGGTAGTAATTCTGGTCCTGTGGAATATATGCTACATGTGGGTTGTTTTCTTCCCAACTGTCTTACTGCAGTATATTGTACATGAAAATGCTTAGGAAATCAGTTAGTAGAAAATACAACACCAGACCTAGTTTGTTTCACAATAAAGTGTTAGTTGTTATTTTTAAAACAGTTTGAGGCCAATATACTTAAAATACTGCCTCTACTGCACGGTTCTTTAGTGTGCTTCCTAATAAGGTTAGAGTCTCCTTCAAATTGAGCTTCACTCCTGGTGATTTTATGGACATAACCATACTGTTTCCTTACAAAACATAGAAATAATTTGCCTTAACTTCCAAGCCCAGTCCAGGTACTGCAACCTACATAGGCATACAGCTGATACTACTGTGAAAATTGGTTAGCTTAACGAAGATTAGTTATGCTTCTTAAAGAGCTTTAGAAGATCTTGATGAGATGTGCAGGAAAAATATTTTAGTAAATGAAATCAATGTATAAGATTTGCTGGTTTTGTCTTGGGGCCTATAATGTTCAGTAAAAGTGTGATAGAATATTGGGTATTTGTGGCTGATGAAACAAGGCAGCAATACACAAACTGATCAGTGGTGATACTGAGGGTGAATGCATGTAGGTGATCAAGCAACCTGCATGAAAATATACATAATACTACACATTCATCCATTTTAACCAATACACATATTCTAACTATCCTGTTGTCTACACTGACTATTGAACACCTTCCAGCCATCCATTGTCCACTGTCCCTAAGTTTTGTGTGCTATTTCTTTTTTCTTTTTAATCATTTCAGATCATCTAGAATGTGTATACATTTGGCACTAGGCATTAATATGAAAGAGTAAATTCAAAAGTGTCTTCTGCCATTAACTATAAAGTTTGCAGTGATAACAGCTTGTGTATTGTTTTTCGGTTCACCTGATTTGCAGGATGAGTTGGAAAAACTTCTTAACATTCTTGCAAATGTATGTGTTCTGTGTTTCAAACTGATATCCAGTTCATACTTTTACAATAATAAAAAATAAATGCTGTAAAATGTTATGCAAAGCTGCCTTGGAGTTTACTTCTAGTGTGGGGAGGAATGCTGCATATCCTGTGAAAGTTGGTTTCTTTGCAATATAGGCTGAATTTATTTAAAAGCAAAACTCAGGCTGTACGGATATTTTTACTATGCAGAATTATCTAATTTTTTTTTTTTTTAATTGGAGCATGTTGATCTTAGTTTTGGTTAAAATGGGTGTAAATACCTTTGCAAATTATATGTAAGAGAGTGAAAGTTGGTTTCTTTGCAATATAGGCTGAATTTATTTAAAAGCAAAACTCAGGCTGTACGGATATTTTTACTATGCAGAATTATCTAATTTTTTTTTTTTTAATTGGAGCATGTTGATCTTAGTTTTGGTTAAAATGGGTGTAAATACCTTTGCAAATTATATGTAAGAGAGTGAAAGTTGGTTTCTTTGCAATATAGGCTGAATTTATTTAAAAGCAAAACTCAGGCTGTACGGATATTTTTACTATGCAGAATTATCTAATTTTTTTTAAAAAAAATTGGAGCATGTTGATCTTAGTTTTGGTTAAAATGGGTGTAAATACCTTTGCAAATTATATGTAAGAGAAGTGTATTCATAAGTTGAGCCTACAGGAAGAACTAAAACAGCAAAAAAGTGCAAACTTTTTACCTTAGCCAAATCTCTAAGACAGCTGCATGCAGTGCTGGTTTGCAAAACTCTCTAATGAATACTGTTCCTATCTCAGAGTACTACTGAGCAGACAGATTAAACTGGATGTTGGCACTGTAGATAGAAGCTTTTTTACAGGCTAATTACTTGCTTGGTGACAGATGGCATACTTATATTTTTGTGGAATCCAACCCAGAAATATAGGAAACATTTGAAGAGAATATTTGCTTGTATACTAACTCCACCTAGGTTAGGTCTCCTATCTAGATATATCATAGGCTACCTGGATAATATAGTTGAATTCTCAGAGCTATGCTGTAGTTCATGTATATATCAATCCAGTGTATAATACATCTATTTTGGATTTTTTTTTTATAAAAGATGCTATAATCTTACATTTTAAGGTGTCCCTTCCTGATATTGAACAATAATGTGCTCTTACGCAGTTCCTGATTTGTTGCTTGATCTTGGGATGTGCATTGCTTACAGTATTTAGTTTTTACCCCAATTCAGTTATTCACTCCCTCAAATCAGAGAGTGATTCAAAGCTGCTTAATTCAGCTTTTGTTGATTCTGAATCTTAATTTTAAAAAAACCTAAAGTATAATGCCTCATACTAACCATAATTGGAAATCAATGATTGGCTATAACTTTCTTTGTCAAAACTAGGTGAATATTTAAATATAATAGCCCTTTATAACCAGGTGAAACTTAACACATTTCAAAGAAATAAATGTTTTTTTGAGGGGGTGATAATCACAATTAATATTTTTTTGTCAAGGAAACAGATGATATATTATTTGTTAGCAGAATAGGATGAAATTTATAAACATATTTTCCCCTTTTGAGGGGAACAAGTCTTTGGGAAAATTCATCTCTTTTATTATTTGGAAGTTTGTGTTTTCCTATGAAATTGTTACACAGCACAGAGGAAACCCTACTTTTGTTAAATTTCTGTAGGCAGGATCACTGGTTTATTTGGGAAGAGAGTTTTAAAACATTTCATTAGAGTGGTTTGTAGTGTATATGCAGAATAGCATGTATCAGTTTCTAGGTAAACAAAAACCAGGACATTTTTAGAAACATAAAGGGTAAAGGTTTTTTGTTTGTTTTTTTTCTTCTCAAATAGCACTAAAGCGCATAAGTGTACATGCTTTAGTGTATAAGTGTCAGAGGTGAATGTGGAACACTGAGTTTGCAGAGACAGTCTACTGAAGTTTACAAAGAGTAGCTAATGTCATCATGCCATTAGATCCCTCCCAAACTTTAAAAAAAAAAAAAACATTTCCTACAGTTGAGAGAGAGAACTTGCAAAGAAAAGTGAATACTGGGAAAGTCCAGCGATTGCTAAATTGTATTCATTTCTCTCTGTGTTTATAGTCTGGTATTTTCCTTATATTGAATAGTTCTCATATCACATCTGTAAAGTATTCATCACTACCCACAAACCTGGGTTCACATAACGTACTAAAATCTGAAGAAATTAAGGTTTAGTAAGATGCATATTGTCTATGGTTCTATATACAAATCTCTAATGAACCTTTAATGAGATTCTAATTTGGACTGCTTCAGAAATGCTGATTTGATTTAGACAGTCCTGAATCTTTCCAGATCAACTCAATTTTGCAATGGGATTCAGCCTTCTATCAGATTTGACTCCTGATGATTTCATATACATGTAGTTTTCTTGGCAATATTGCCATTGTATTCTTCTAGAATATTTTTTATTAAACCATCTAACTATAGCCTTGGGGGTTTCCTGGTGGTCTCATTGAAAAGCCAATCAGATCTGGCCCTGTTAAGCATTATAAGTTCAGCCATTGTCAGCTAGGTGCTGTCACACCTAGTCAGGTATATTTAATATACACCACTAGTAATATCCATTAACTACAGAATCCATGAGTTGTAGAGGAATTTTGAATGTTATATGCTAATTATAAGATATGGTGCTGTGCTTCTGGTTTTAATATTTTATTTGTTGGAATAGAAATTTACATTCAAATATTATGGTAGAGATTTACTATTTATGACTGAACTAGTCTTTCAGTAAAATGTCAGTCTAGTAAATGCATTTTCAAAAAAAAAAATCGACAAAGTTTTACAGAACTTTGAACCATGTCACAAGTTATTTTTTTACATAAAGATTAATTTATATCATAAACAGTATGGCAAAAGGGTACATCAAAACCTGTTACTCCAGTATTAAGATATTGTCACTTTCAGCAAGCATTGAGAAAGCAGCTGTAGGAAGTAAAAGAAAAATTAATGTGTGAAAGTAACCAAAAGTTACAAATTAAATACAAGTTTTAAGTTCATTATTCCATTTTTATATTAGAGTAGGGAATCTGTAAGGCATCAATGTGTTCACATAATTCCTGTCAATGTTCAGGTTACCTGGGTATGCTGATCCAATATTATCTTGAGAGCCCCAGTTTGCCAGCCCCTGCTCTAGATAAACCATAATTGTATTGTTTCTATTACAATCACAGGAAATTTGAAATATTGTATAAAATAAGGAAAATTGTGGGGGGGAAATTATGTCCTTGAAATTGTTCTTAAGAAACTGGATAAGCTGAAGCCACCACCTTAACTGAAATATTTTTATGAATAACAAAAAGCTCTAAGTATTGTCGAAGGCTTTCACGGCCGGCATACGATGGCTGGTGTGGGTCTTCCGGGCTGTGTGGCTGTGTTCTTGAAGTTTTGTTTCCTAACGTTTCGCCAGCA